CTCTTTCCCTGTTCTCTCTCTATGCTGTGTGCTATGTCTCTCTCTATCTCTCCCTGTTTGTAATCTGTCTCTCTCTATACTCTCTCCCTGTTTGTCTGTCCTGTCTGCTCTCTTTCTTCTCTCTCCCTATTCTCGGTCTCTTTCTCTCTGCCATTCTCTGTCTTGTCTGTCTGTCTGTGTCTCTCTCTCTCTTCTCTGCCGTGACGTCTCTCTATCTATCCATCTATCTGTCTTCTACCTCTCTCTCGTTATCTCTCTCTTCGTTATTTCCCTCCCTCCTCTCTCTCTCTCTTATTTGTAATAAAATTCACGCTTTATCTTTTGTGTTTGTCTGTTTTTATAAGCATTTGATTGCCATCTATATTCCGCGTGCATCCCAAAGGTTTTCCTGTTACCGAAGCTGAGATCTCGACTGTCTTGAGGACTTTCCCTCCTTTCCTCGCGAAGGCGCCTTCCTGGTTCCCTTGAACTGTTTCCTGCGTCCAGACTGCGTTTGTTTGTAGATTCAAACTGTATGTTAATTATTTGAAGCTGTATCTGTTTGTTTGAAGCTGTATCTGTTTGTTTGAAGCTGTGTCTGTTTGTTTGAAGCTGTATCTGTTTGTTTGAAGCTATATCTGTTTGTTTGAAGCTGTATCTGTTTGTTTGAAGCTGTACCTGCTTGACTGCAGCTGCGTTAATGCGTGTTTGAGATCTCATTCTTTTGCCATTTGAAATTGTGTTTATTTATACCGTTTGAGGTTGTAATTGTTTTTTTTTCTTTTTTTAATGCGTTTTTTGCCGTGTGATGTTGCATCTTCTTTCTTTTAAAACTTTACATAATTTAAACAGCACTGTCTTACTCCACCGAAAACATCAGCATAAAAAGCAGCATTTTACGAGACGAAACAACGAGGAACTCCGAAAGTTTTCCTGAGATGATTTATTCGCTTGTGGACAGCGAAGCGCGAGCGATCGACCCTATTGTAAGACGCACTATGTGATGTTAATACAATCTATTAGATGAGAGATAAATATTAATAGGAATAAATACTGATAGGAATAATGAAATGAAAATCGAAGTAGAGCTATTTTTTTTGTGAAATGAATTACAAAACAATACATAATATAATTTCAGCAGATGATTTGCGAAACATGAATTTCGTCGACCTTGTCTGGCAATACCCCCCTCCCCCCTCCCCTCCTCTCCTACAACCCTGCTCCCCGAACCCCTCCCCCTCGAATCGGTACGCCTCCTCTCCTCCCCTCCTCCCTTCCAGTACTCCCCCCCAGTACGTCCTCCTCCTCCTCCCTCCTCCCCCTTCCCTACGTCTCCCCTCCCCTCCTCTCCTCCCCTCCAGAACTTTCCTTCGACGACCCTTATATCTCCCTCGCCCCTCCCCCCTCCCCCCGCCACACCCTTTCCCCACTACCTCCCCCTTCCCTTCACTATACCCCCCACTCCAATAGAAATCCTGTCCCTCCCCCATCCTCCCTCCTCCCTCCCCCCTCTTCCGCTGCAATTGCCTTTCTGACATTTGATGGCGAAGGGAAGGTTTTAGCTTTCATTCCACTTGAACGGGACGGCCGCTGGCCTAGCACGACGCCTTCCTGGAATGTGTGTGTGTGCTAAAGCGACATTGCAGGTGTCTCTATTGTTATTTGTCTGGTATTTTCAAATGAATGTACATGGAAACAAACGTAAGATGTACTTCAATATATACATATTTATATATATATATATATATATATATATATATATACATATATATAACATGTATGTATGTTATATATTGCATATATGTATGTATGTATGTATATGTATAACATTTTACTATCATTATCATTATTGTTATTAATATTACTGTAACAACACTTTAAAATCAAAGGAACTGAACAATGGAATCTAAAGGCGCCCAAATGTGACAATGTCATCTCGTACGTTAAGCCACGCATTGTAAAGCACCGGGACATCCGTCAACCTTCAGTGCCACGCCCCGCTAAACGCATAATGAGCGAACCACGTTTCATTTCCGAACCGAATGAACCTTTGACCCTCTGTTCATTGCCTGTTCAAAGAGGAAGTTGCGCCTGTTGTGAATCTTTTGTGTGTTCGGGGGGGGGTGTATGTGGATTTTTTTTGAGTGGTGTGTGTGTGTATATGTTTTTTTGTATGTGTTTGTGCTTTTTTTCCCGCGTGTTTCTGTTTAATTCCAGTTGTGCGAATAAGTGATTCTATGAATAGATCCTTATGTCGACTGAGGTATGGGACGTTGACCTGAACGGGTTTTTGTCAATTGTTTTATGAAAACAGTTACCTTACACAAATAGAACAGTAATAATGATAACAACAGTAATCAGCATTATTATTCTTGTCACTGATTCATCATTATCATTATTGTTATTACCATTATTATCATCATTATTGCTATCACTATTACCATTACCATCATCATTACCATTATGGTGATGACAATAGTGATGACAATAACTATAACAATAATGAGAATGACTTTAATCATAATGACACTAAAACTAATAATAGAAATGATAATGATGATAATAGTAACAATGATGATAATGATGATAATGAAACAATAATAATGATAATGATTATTATGACAATAATAATAATGTAAATAATAACAGTAATGATAATGTAACAGGTATACCTCGTGGCCATCAGTGTATATTACGTCACTATTGCAGCAAGTGTATTGCACAAGCTTTGTACACAATTCGCAACCGTGCAAGGGCGAAGAGAGAGAAGGATCTTGCGATGGAAATGCTCAGAAGAAATAGGAAGTAGAAATTTAGTAAAGAAAATACTCACAAAGGTTTCGAATTTTCCTCCGAAACCTTAATGACATAGTGATGTTTTACTCTTCTTGTTTTCAGCAGGTTTTATCATCAGTGGCTTCAGTTGCGACGCCCGCGTGACGGACGGAATCCCGCAATTTGCATGTTGCATGAATTCCGCTTGACATAAACGTGTGAACTCAGCTGCCAGAGTGATCAATCATTGTCACTGTACTTTCCTTGTTACTGTT